AATTCATAGGTGCATTATCCTGTGGGATCAAGCTAAAATGTGGTCAAAGAGCTTTAGCTTTAGCTTGTATGCTCTCATGAAAGGATTTGGGCAGAAGAAGGCAGCCATGCTCTTGTTTGTGCAAGTTTCCCCCCTCSGTTCTTTGAGTTAGGCAGAATAACAGATCACAAGAATACTTATCAGAGAATATTTTACTGCAGTTAAGAGAGAACACTTATTTCCTTTACAAAAATAATAATTATTTTTGGAAGTATGATCAGGCACATTAAAAGTATGCTTTAATCTCTTTCTGGGCCAAAAATATGAATTGGGTACTTCTCAGCTTTTCAAATTAATACATTAATTTATCTGGCCATGGTATTACTCCAGCAAAAGGAAATACAGGGCATTAAAAACACACAAAATTTGGGTATCACTGTTGCCTMTATAAGAACCATTTCATACCATTTTCTACAAAATAATGTGCTGCATGATGGAAATGAAAATATTCTGGTTGGTTCTCAAAAGCTTAGATGGAATTTTGTCCTAAATGGTGATGAATTCATTCATATATGTTCCTAATCCTTTTAAGCAGTGGCATAAATATTCTGAGTGACCCTCGAAGATGCTGGGTAGGACAGTGAGTCAATCGTTTCAGCCCACAAGGATGCAAGATCTTATGCTAGGGGGGAAATCCTGTTCACACTGGAGTAAATGTGGTTTTAGCTCTGCCTTTAATGGTGTTTCCGTTCCTTTTTCTGAACTTAATTGAGAATGGGATTTCACCCAACTCCTCACGCGATTGTGGCCCAAACCTGAATTCTAGCTTGGAGTTCTTTTTAAATGGGGAAAATAAAGGTGAAACTAAATAAGCCCAGAGAAAGATCCATCTCCAGATGGAGAAGGACTCTGATATCAAACTGTTGGGTGTTTCCTGAAGCAGACATGAGCTCTAAGCAAACAGTCCCTGCAGTGCCAGCAGCACTCCGGGTGCTGGGGAAGCTGCAGTGTCACCTGACTGCACTGCTCTCACGGGTGGGCAGCGTTATCCCTGGCCAAAGGGCCTTTCCTCCTCCCCACCACAAACACAGGGGATGTTTGGGATGAGGAAAGGGTCATAATGCCATAGAAAGGGAAATGCACTGCTATTTCCAGGAGTTTTCAGTGAAACTTCAGACTTCACAAAGATAAGGCCAGATAAGGAATTGCAGGGACAGAGTTCACACGGGCAAACTCTCAGGCATATATTTTTATGTTGCAAGTAAGTGAGACTAAAATATTCCATAAACTTTCACTATATTCTTTGAATTAAATCAAATAATTAGCTATTCATCTCCCAGCTTTGATTTTGTTAAATAACCAATACCATAGTTTAAAGGCAAGAATTTAATCCATGGAATATTCGGTCCTTRGAGAAGATCAAAGTGGTGTTAAGCACACACCTACAGCACTTGATCCTGAAAAAAAAATTAGGTGCATGTCTCAATCAGCCTATCCCTCTTACTGGCTCCCATGCATTAACCTAAGCCTCTGCTGGAGCTTTTTGGTGMCCAAGCACCTGTGGAGGTGTCCACACGGGGAGAGCGGGGCTCTGAAAAGGCAGCAAGGAAACGGGAGAGAACCCCAGCAGGCTGTGATGGCAATGCCTCCTCATTCCTCTGCATCTACCAACGCTGCAGGAAGAGATCGAAAGTCTCTTGGGCGACATAAATACGCACGATAAGCGCGTACAGAGAACACAAAGGTGAAATGGCCCTGCTTATCAGGCACAATTAAAATGAATAGAGGATGACTAATAAAGAGGCAGTTTAAAATCTTTACATGACACGGTGTCAAGGCAACAGTGTTGTGCAATAGCCCTGACACAATTAGCGCTGTGTCCCTGCCTTGGGCAGAGCCGGGACCGGGGCTCCGCCGGCCTCGCCCGCACGCTCCCATGGCGAGCGCTGGGTGGGCGCCGCCGCTGCAGCTCTCCGCTCCGCGCATCCCACACACCCCGCGGAACCTGCGCACCACCAGCCACTTCGGAGCCAGGCAAGGCTGCTTTTTCCACTTTGTCACCTCTGTTCTTCTCTCTGCTTTTCGTTTGCGTGATCCCAAGCCTCGCGGTTACCACTGCGGGAAGAGGGAAAACGCGGCGTTGAATTTGTGGGCACACTCTGTTGAGGTGCCTGATCCCGARCCGGGGCTGGGTGTTGACTTAGCGCTGAGCAATGCAAGCATTTCCTGGGTAGGAATTGTCGCRGTGTGTAATTTAAAAGCTAGTTTGGGCAACCCTTCTGTCGGGATGATAGTTGGTGAATGGGAGTGTGATCTTCCAAAATACAGCCCAAGGTGTCCTTCTTGTTCTTCATTTAATTATGTTGCTCCCTAATGGTGCTTGTCAGGCTGCAGGATTCCCCAGTGCACTGGGTGAGTGCAGCAGGGACAGGCTGAGTTTTATTTACATATGTATCATGTGTATATACATGTATGTATTTATATATATATAATATATATATACTTGTATATATGTATGTCTACACAAAACATATATAAAAACATATGCAAGAACATATAAKAACAACAAAGAAAATTCTTTTTCTTTGATGTTCTTATTTTCTGTCCAAAACCAGCTCTCTCTTGGTTTTATTGCTGCTGGCATGTCTTTGCAATGCAGCACTGTCAAAAACTAACAATATAAACAATTTTGAGGCTATGCCAAGCATCGCTGAGCACAGCCAAAGCTGCCCAACGCCACAACTTGCTGAACAATGTGTGAATTTCGTGGTGGCAGAAATGTCTGTTTCCCTGTTCTTTCTTAACTTTCAGAAAGATCTTGGCGGAAAGTGTGTTATTCTAAACGAGATAATTAAAGTAATTTATATGAAAACTCCTTCACCGTTGCTGCAGGAGAAAGGGCCCCTATGTTTGTCCAGCCTGCTGGCTCTCCCTGCCAGGGGCTGTAGGGGAGTTGATTGGAACACTTCATGATTTCTGGTCAGAAAGTAATGGGTTTTTATMAGGTAAAGGGGTATTTCTGAAAGGTTTGCTTTATTAGAAAACAGTGTTGATGCTCTTTCCCGTGCCTGCCAGGCTTGTGGGATGGGGGGATGGCCATGGAAGTGTCCCAGCAGTGCCAGCAGCCCTGGCCAGCAGCCAGCACAACTCAGGGCAGCGGCTGTGGCACTTGTACCTTGAGGGGGAAACCTACCACAGCCTCTTTGGGGCCACATCCTGCCTGCCTGCGCTTCCCACCCATGCGTCTGTGAGTGTTAATCTTAAAGTGCCTCAGTCACAGAGTCTGATGTTCTCATTATTCCTCATCTACTTCCCCAATGTGTGTCTGCATGCCCAGGCTGGGAGGCAATGGCATCCCCTCAGGGACGGTCACTGTTGTAATAGGGCTGTACTGCAGGCTGCAGAGACACACCTTAACCCAAGTAAAAATTGAGAGAATCGCTSCATTTGGTACCTGTTTGTATCTCACCTGAAAGTGAGCAGGAAGGATTTTTACCACATGAATGAGGGAAGGGTTGCTGTGTTTCACATGACGAGGCTGTGTGCCTCAAAAACCCACTCTAARTGAGAAAAAGAGATTTGCCACTTGTGGCAGGCAGCACAACCAACCTATTTTCTTTGCCTCCGATAAAAAAGTAAATAAGAAATATTAACTGCATACAAAGGTGCCCTTTTTCTTGTCCTCATCAATAATACTGATGTTCCTCAGGGTTACTGCTGTAACAACATCACTTTCCTTTCCTCACTGCCATCAGGTTTATATTAAAAACCTCATAGCAAAGTCTTTTGCCCACCGTCCCTTTTGGTTTTGCTTTTGTCCCCCACGCTGGCACGTGTAGGGACGGGGCCATGCAGGCTGTCTGCGTGTCTGACCCTTTCCTCCAGCAGAACGAGGGCTGGGAAAGGAACAGGAATTCAGACTGAGCAAAGAAAGCCAGGGATGAGGATGCCAGCTGTGGGAAAGGGCTACTAGGCAGTAACGTGCTCCCGGAGGGAGCAGATCTCCCAGCATTGCATAGGTTAAGGAGCAGCTTTCCAAGAAGRGCTGAAGTGGAGAGGGGGAAAAAACTCCAAAAAAATTAACTTGTTTGTAAGAGAGTGCATTGAGTTTTGGAAGGGGATTACATGATGCAGCTKCTTGGAGCAGAGCGGGGCCGGAGTSTGGGACCCAGCGATGTTCCCCCAAGTCGCCCCAACTGCGCCGTCAACYAGAGGCTTCCCACCCCAGCGCTGGTCCCTCCCGGCAGTGCCTTGAGAAGAGAAAGGATGGGACTTCAGAACAGTCTTCACGCCCCAGCTTCGGTACCTACAGCTTCCAGATACGAGAGAAGCGTAAACCAAACTCTGGCGATGGGCAGGACCACATGGCAGGACTGAGCAGCGGTCCCAGCCCGACGCTCCCGCGGCAGCKCCGGCGGGACCCGCTGCTCCTGCGGCCGGTGCGGCTCCGCGCCCGCAGCTGGGCACGGCTGGAGTCACGGGAAGGGGAAAGGAGCTGCCCGCTGTCCCTGGAAAGGAGGGTGAATAGTTACAGTGGAGAAAGGGAATTTTTAATAAACCAAAAAGCCCATGAGGAAGGAAGCGGCAAATGTTAGCAGGGTGACTCACGGTGCGGGATGACTAATCCCGCCGGGACACAGCTCGTGCCGCGCAGGGAATCGGGGGGCGCGCAGCGGCTGCGGGACCCGTGGGGCRGCCGGGGCCGGGCCTCGCTCCGCCGAGCGGGGAGGGACAGCGGGCCGGTCCCGGCAGGACTCCGGGACGGAGTGCAGAACGGGCCGGTGCCCGCGGATCGGCGGCGGTGACCTACTTTCCGCGGGCTCCTCCCGGTGCACGGCACCGCCGCTGCCCGCGCCACCTGCCCGGCCCTGCCCGGGCCCCGCACCCGCGGAGGTGCGCTGCTCTCCGCGCTGCTGCCCGCGCTCCTCCCCGCTCTGCGCTCCGCCCCGCACCCTGCCCGCGCTCTGCCCGCGGGTGCCGGCGGCGGGTGCCGGTGCCGGTGGCGGCGGGGCGGGGAGCAGCGCGCCTGTGCAGTGCCGGGGGGCCGGGCCGAGCCCGCCGCGTTACACAACCGGCCGCCGCCACAGCCGAGTTTCACAAGTCCCGCCGCGACCGCCCGCAGCCCGCGCCCCCCGTGCGCCCATCCCCGCGCTGCCCGCGCATCTCCGGCGCTGCCTCCCGCCCTGCCCGCGCTCATGCCATGTCACCGCCGGGCTGCGGGACCCCGCGGCSAGCGGTAACCCCTGTGGCCCGGGGGGCACCGCGCCGGGGCTGGGCATGGCACTGAGCTCGGCTCCGGGACGCGCATCCTCCTAGACGGTACGTACGGCCGCGGGGCCAGGCGCGATCCCTGCCGGGGTCAGGGGTGCGGGAGAGAGGGGGGACCCCGGGAACAGCCCCCGCTGCAGGGCCGGTACGCGGCACYCGCCGCTCCGCCCTGCCCTCGTCGGACACTGCCAGGACGGTCCCAGGTAAGTTCTGAAGAGGAAAACTGAGCCGCGAGAGCTCTGATTTTTTCCTTTAAAAATCCGTGTACCGTAAGGACGGGAACGGGACGCAGCGCRGGGTGTCCGAGGGGCTCTGGCTGTAAAGGCAAGCGGAAAGGGGACTCCGGGACAGGGATGCCGGAGCGCGGCGCATCCCGAGGCTGGGCACCGACATCCCCGTCCCTCGGTGCCCGCAGACCCCGGCGCATGGAGCTGCTCGGGAGAAGCCACAGGCAGAGCGCAGCTGACAGCTGCGGTGATTTGGGGCTGTAGGAAACCGATTTTCTGAAATCGGTCTGATCGCAGTTTCTCGTTCTGTCTTGAAGTTTCGTCGTTCAGGGAATGTGTTTGGCTGAAAGCAGTGTGGAGGTAAACCTACAAAATGAGTCTTGCACCTAAAGATATCATCTGAAATCCAGGTTGAAAAGTCACTCTTCTCACCAGGATTGTTGTGTCATTTGATTTTGCAGAATGTTTACATTATAAGTGAGAAATTAAGAAGGCTTTGAAAGTCTTTCATGTGTTTCAGCCGCGGATTTGTGAATGATAACTCCACACCTTGGTCCTTAGTGGCAGAAATTGTGAAGTGATTGCTCTGGGTAGCTCACACTGGAAGCGCAGGTCGGAGCTGAGCCCTGTGTGATTCATCAGTGAGGTGTCACACGCTTTGGAGAGCTCCATTTGTGAAGTGCCACAGTCYCCAAAGGCAGAAGGCTCCTAAGCCATAGCAGAGCAGGTCTCTGCTAGGTGGATTTTGGAGAAGTCCAGTGCATCAGTCCCTTTTTGGGGACAGAACTGGCACCCGAATGCCAATACCCCTGATTCCTGAATGAAGTTATCTTCAGCAGGGGAGTAGCTCTGGAGATAATGTCCCTGAAATCAAAGCTGTTAAAATGCCCCATGCCTTACCTGCCTGGGAGGGTGCAGGATCATCTAGGGAGGGCAGGGTTATTTAYTAGCTGAAGTTTATTTTGCTGTGTGCAGTGAAAGCTGTGCTCCTGATTTCACTAGAGGGATGAGACATTCTGGTGTAGACATGAGAAGATGTTAGGAGTTGCTTCATTTTTGAGCAGAATGCCCGTGCTCACCTGTCCTTATTTTGCTGGATCACTGCTAGCTAATCCCTAGCTCTGGAAATGGGAATTTGCCTTAGGGAGACAGCTAGCCCTTCATGGGTTTGATCTGCAGGCTTTGGAGTCCTCACAGATGTAATGGATGTTGTTTGAAGCAGCAGACAGTTTCAGGAGTACGCAGTGTGAAGCCCCGGTACTGAATGTCTGACAATGTGGTGTTTTGGTTGGGAATTTGTGTAATTTTTATAAACGTYCTAGTCTGCAATGACTCACCGTAGCTATTCAGTCAGAAAAATACATTTGGATTTTGGGGTTTTTGGAAACTATATATAAAAAAAAATATATATATCATTCTCCTGTAATGTGTCAATCAGAGTAAGCCAATGTATCAGTGCTGCACCAGGGAGGACCAGAGCTCTGGCACTGAACAGCAGCTCTGGGGGCTCTGCGGCTGAYGGAGCCCTGACAAACGCAGCAGGCTCTAATGAGGAGAGGAGGATCCAGAGGAAGCCAAAAGTTGAACTTTGTGTGGAAGGGAGGCATTCGCATCTCTTGGGCKAAACATGTTTACCACTGAATCTTTAGAATTCTTCTGGAAGAGGTAATAGGAAAAATGTAAATGGCTTTAGGAGTGGTTGCTTGCTGCTCGCTTATCCTGATCGTTCCAATCTGTGGACTACAGCTACTTGATTTAGAGGAAAAAGGAAAATTGGTTTGAAATTTTTTTATGAACTGCAAACTTCAGTAAGATATGTGATGGTTCCTGGGTTTTAGCCACTGAGACTATATCTGTATAAAAYTATTTTTCTGGTTTAAGACATACATCAAGTACACAAAAATAGCTCAGAGTTAAAGATTAAAATTAGCAAATSAGTAGTTCATAATTAAAGTCTCATGATGGAGGAAGTGGCATTACACTGCAGAGATACTGATGTCAAATCCAACTTCTGCTCATTMGTAGTATCAAAATATTGGTAGGATRTCTTTACAGTTYGGAGCTGGGRCTTGTCTATGCACAGAATTTGCTTTGTTTTGCCCTAAATTATGCAACCTCCCAAGATTCACATGTAATGTTGCAAAGGTTTTAATGCCAACACAGCTCATTCTTTCAAGACTGGAGGAATAAGCTATATGCYTGTATCAGAACAACTGAATTCAGGTTTGTACTGGAACAGTTATGGGTCCTAGTGAAATAATATGGCTTTAACCAGAACAGGAAAACCTATAAAAACCAAAATAGTGTGAACCAATGTCTTCTGGTATGTTTGAAATTATAGACCTCTCTATCACTACAGTTCCAAATCTCTGTTAGGGAAGTCAGACAGGTACAACAACTGCATTTATTTGTTAGCACCTGGATGAATCCCATTTTTCGGGTGGGTCCTGCTCAGCTGGGCCATGCTCTGGTCGATGTCCCTCTGCAGTAACAGCTCTGTGCTGCCAGCATGGCCATGGTGATGAGCTTGCCTGGCTGCAGCTCCCCCAGCTCTCTCCCATCCTCAGCCCAGGCTGAGCCCAGTGCTCTTTTTCCCTTGTTTCACTGCTCATTTTGGTGTGGCTCAGTGTGACTTCTTGCCTTGTGGCCCATAAGCTGAAAAAGCAATGTCCCTGTAGAAAAGTCCTGCAAGTCCCAGTTTATTGTTCCTTCAGCCTCACTTAAGCCCAGGTTTAAGGGAGGCCGAGGTGGTGGCAGCCCCCAACAAGCTCTGTGCACAGCTGGGCTTGCTGGCTGCACATCTACCCAGCCTCAGAATCACCAGATTCAGTCAAACCACAAAGGTATGTGCAATTAATGAGGGAATTTGACCTACTTCATATTCCTTTATTGGCTTTGGCCTTGTCTACATGGGGAGATTATGCCAATTTAGTTTAAGTCTGTTTTTAAAGTGATTTGATTAACCTGATGTGACCTTGTGTAAGGACATTCTTATTTTGGTTCGAATGAGCTTATTTGGGTTCAACCAAAACCTGCACTTAGTCAATTTGCACAGAACCGAAATTAGACGTGCCTACACTGGAAGGGGAACTGATGTCTCTAAATAATGACACAACTTTCTCATGAAAGCAGAACCTTCTGTAGAATCTGGAACAGAATGTAATTACTGACAAATCTGCAGGCRAGTGAAAGCTATTCATAGCAAAGTTTTCAAAAAAACCAAAGAAAACAGGCAAAGCTTAAATATCTTAGTGAGACAAATGAAGAGGTGCCAATAATCCCAGCCCTGGCACACTGAAAGCTGTGGCACAAGGCTTGCATAGCTTGCCGCAAGCTCTCCCATGGTTCTTCAGATGCAGAAAGGGGCAAGCATTTGKGTCCTGTGCAGGGAGTCCCTATAGAGCCAGAAAATAAAAAAGTAATGCAGGAAGCTCTAGACCAGCTGGTTTGAACGCAACAGTACCCAGCGTCTCATGACGTATTTTGTAGGAAAGAACAATTAGACATGGAAATAATGAGGAAGCAGGCTAAATTRCAACAAGATTTTATCAAAGATGGATTGTGATAGACTAATCTAACATCTTTTTCGTATAACAGATTATTTAAGGGGGGTAGGGCAGGAATGTAATCTATCTAAAGCCAAGCATCTGATACCATGCCCCACAGGACGTTATGGCTTAAAATGAGGATGGAAGTTCAAGACAAGAATTGAAAGGTGGAAAAGAACCTGGCCAAAGAGAAGATACAACCATTGCACGTGAATAAAGTTGTCTGAATGGCAAGAGGTATTCAGAGAAAGTCATCAGGATGGAGAGGGATTGGTGGTGTTGTCCCTTGGGATCAGGTTTGGGCTAACTGAGTGGGTCCACTCTGACCTGTGTGCCCAGGAGCTGTGTGGGGTGACAAAACTTGGGAGGAGGTATTGTCAGTACAGAGGAGGATCAGATTATCATATGAAAGGAATTTAGATGACTTTGGTGATTGCATTRATAGACATAAAATTACATGACTTTGACTCAGCACTATTAAATGTCAAGTTGTAAGCATGGAGACCAGTAACAAGAATTTCCAGTGTGAAACAGGAGCTCACGCGTTGTCCATGATGGAAGGGAGAGCTGTGGATGCACTGGCTGCTCAGGAGATACAGCTGTGAAGGAGACACTGACATCCCTGGATACCAAAGGAAAATAACATGAGAAATTTGGGGAAATGTGATATAATCAGTGTACAAATCATCATACAGGGTGTCAATACAAGAGCTTTCCATTGCCTGTGAAGTGGCCCACCCTTGTCAAGAAAATGTTAAATTCCAACAATAGGAGGGACAGAGATGTGGTTACACAAACACATCATCAAAATACAAAGAGAGGTTAAAGAGCATCATTTGTTTAGCTCTGGCCAGTTGAACCAATGAAGAGATGGGTTGGGGTGTTTTACACACAATTTGCACCATATAGCAAGGAGGCAGAAAAAAAATAAGCTAAAAGATAGCATCTGCACAAAGTCAAATTGTCTAARTTGGTCATGAGCAAATTTGGGTGGGGAATTAGAAGAAAGCTTGTAGCTACCCAAGGATTGAAGTTGCGTAAGAGTCTTTCAATTAGGTAGTTTTGAGATAGATCTTGATAATCTTATGAAAGAGATTATACAATTAAATTAGAGAGTACCCGGAGATAGGAAATTACATTTGCAGAGTTAGTTCTTTGGTCTGCAGTATAGACATATTTTTAATGTATGCTTGAAAGGAGAATGCACCTGGTTTGTTTACACTTTTAACCCCGTGTATCAAGGCTTCTGCTGTTTCCTTGGGAGCTGAGGCAAGAA